AATTGCCTAGAACAAGCAGCTGATCTTGAATCCGAGGACTTTTTGTCAAGACAGGAGTATAAAGTTGAGTCATCAGCAAAAAGAGCTACTTTAAATGAAAGGTTGTCAGGAAGATCGTTTATGTAGATAAGAAACAAAACAGGGCCCAGGATGGAACCTTGGGGAACCCCAGAAGTTAATGGAAATAAAGAAGAGTGTTGGCCTTCAAGGATGACTTTAATAAACCGGTTAGAAAGAAATGATTTGATAATCTCAAAAACTTTCCCAGAAACACCATATGAAGCAAGCTTATGGAAAAGACCAGCATGCCAAACTTTGTCAAAAGCTTTAGATATGTCAAGAGCAACCACCCTAGCCTCACCGCTTCCATCTAATGCACGATAAAATCTTTCAGTTACAGCAGTTAGCAAGTCGGTCGCAGAGCGAGAGGATCGAAAACCGTATTGATTATCTGACAGTAGTTTATTTGACTCAAGATGAGATGTGAGGAATTTGTTGATCAAAGACTCAAAGACTTTGCTAATAACAGAAAGAAGACTGATCGGACGATAATTGGAGGGGTCAGAATTTTCTCTAGAGTTTTTGAATATTGGAACCACAGATGCCATTTTCCAACAAGCAGGAAAACAAGACTCAGTCAAACACTTGTTAAATAGTTTAGTAAGAATTGAAGAAAGTTCTGGAGAACAATTCTGCAAGACTGTGACAGAAATGTTGTCTCGACCACAAGCCGTAGACGAGTTTAATTGAGATATGACTTTAGCAACAGAAGCCGGAGTGATTTGAATGTCTAACAATGGGTCAATCTGTTTGACTGGAATGAAAGGAAGAGAATGTCCATAAGATTCAAGAGTGGAATTAGAAAAAAAGTTCTTTGCAAATAGTTCTGCCTTATCCTTGGGAGAGGTAATAAGATCAGTCCCATGAATGAGAGATGGAATGTTAGATCTACCCTTGTTAACAATGTTGTTGAAGATTTTCCAAAAGTCTTTAGAGCCTAACTTCTGCGATAAGATGCGAGATTTAGTAAACTGAGAATAACGGAGTTTAGCATCAGAAAGCACCTTTTTAAACCGATTTCTTGCAATAATAAATAGCCGTTTGTTCTCAAGAGAGTTGTTCTTTTGAAAAAGATGAAAAAAATGATTAAGATTGGATATAGCAGCTGCACAAGAAGGAGAAAACCATTGAGTAGAGTGAGGCTTGACTTGAAACCAACGAGAAGGAATAAAAGCTTCCATTCCAGCCTGAATCCAGGAGGTTACGTAGGAGGCGCATTTGTCAGCTGAGAGAGAAAAAACATCAGCCCAAGGACTATCACGAAGAAAATCACGAAATGAATCCAGTCAGATTTAGGGTAGTAGTAGGTGGTGCGATGATAAGGTGAGCCCAAAAAAGAAGTACGAGAAGAAAGATTTATAGAGATCATTGCATGGTCAGAACCACCTAAGGGAGAAAAGGGAGAAACTGAACATAAGCTAGGGTCAGAGACAAGACATAAGTCAAGGAGTGAAGGTAAATGATTAGGGTTGTCAGGAAAACGAGTCACAAAGTTAACTATCTGAGTAAGAGATTGAGAAACGCAGAAGTTAAAGGCTTTAGTGCCAGCAGGATCAGTGGTGTTAGAACCAAGCCATTCAGTGTGATGTGCATTAAAATCACCAATAACAACAATATTGGCAGAGGGGTAAAGAGAGAGGGCATGGTCAATTTGATCAGAGATAACATCTAAGAGAGTGCAATCATGGGAAGAAGGAGAACGATAAAGAACAAAGAGAAAAGTGATAGAGTGAAGAGGTGCTACGCGAAAGCACATAAAAGAATGGTCAAAGGATTCGAACCTGATTTCACGACAAATAGGGGAATTAATGCGTACGTATACCCCTAAACCTAGCATGTGAATATTTGAGTCTTTACGAATCAAAGGATAGTACCCATCAACACTGACATCTGAAGAAGGAATTGCAGAACTTAAACTGAGTGCAAGCAAGTCTGGTGAGTTTTGCAGGAGGTAAGACTCAACTGATGGAAAGTTGCTTCGTAGACCGCGAATATTTGTAAAAGATATATTAAAATATTTAGGTGGTGGGGATGGTTTTTTAGGTTTTAAATTTTTGGTTACTTTGGTCATGATTTAGGTTTAATGAGAACTTGACTCATTCATAGATAGAGCACAGCCTCCTAATCAATGAGCTATGCAGTTGTCTCAGTCCTGTTAATTAACCCTAAGCCGTGACATAGGGCTCCTTATGTCCTTGACAATGCACACCAAAAGCATTAACAGGGACACCATCCATGCGCAACATGACACTGTTAATACTCTGATATTTTGCAGCTGTTGATGGAATCAGCCTCTCTGAGAGCTACCACAGAGTTCGGGAAACCTTACTACCAGCCGGCCTCAGAACCATTAAACTGAGTTTTAGAGCTGTACCCTCATATGGAGATAACAGGAAGAGTTGCATAGCCATTATCAAGGAGGCATAAGCAAAATAATATGAGTAGAGTCAAGGAGATCCAGCATTCATTATCCTAGGCAGGAAACAATGTAACACAGGTTACATCTACGCCAGCCTAATAGATGAAGAAGGGGTTCGAGGCTGGTTAGCAGAATTTTTCTGCTTACCCCTAAAGTCTTTGCCTAGGAGGCCTTCTACAAGACAGTAGCTGAATGCAGTTAACATCTGCCCAAGATGAGTATTTTTATCGAGACACCATCTCTAGCCTTTACTCAACCAAGAGCCCCAAGGCAGGGGATGTTTAGCTGGATGCAGTTAACATCTGCCCAAGATAAGTGTTTTTATCGAGACACTATTTCTAGCCTTTACTCAACCAAGAGCCCTAAGGCAGGGGATATTTAGCTGGACGCAGTTAACATCTGCCCAAGATAAGTGTTTTTATCGAGACACCATCTCTAGCCTTTGCTCAACCAAGAGCCCCAAGGCAGGGGATGTTTAGCTGGATGCAGTTAATATCTGCCCAAGATGAGTGTTACAGAATAATAATATCTGTAAAATTATTTACAGTTGATTTCAGACTTAAAAGTAGTTTATTTAACATTTCAAGTCTAAAAACGATAAAACTTACACTTTTTTCCTTGGTCTTTTTGCCATTTTAAGGTAATCTGGGTCACTGTGCGACGGTGCGAAATGCTCAGAGCTTTCTTCGAATCCTAGGTCTCTTTTTTCTAAAGCCTGCGTCGCGACTGCTGAATAATCATTTTTTTATAAACTAAATTATTATTATCTAGTGAAACATAGTTTAAAACATGACGAATAACAAGTGAAGCCAAGTAAATTTTAATTTATTAGAAAAATTATAAGCTTACAAAAAACAATCTGCGCCAAAATAAAGTCTAAAAATTGAGCAATAATGAGAATTTAAGTTATGGAATATTTACAACTCCTAATGTTTTTAAACGAACATGAACAAAAAAACATTTACAAACGTTTATTCAAAAACTTTGATTGTCTACTTTATAAAGAAAAAAGATTGTTAAGAATATTAGGTTAAATATTCACCTGTTTTTTACCTTTTTTCAAAGCGAAAAATAAGATTTAATAAATGGTGAACATACTTTGTACCTAAAAAAGACTTTTCGAATATTGATTCTGTAAGACAAATTTATTTCCAACATGTTTTTATTTAAAACTGAATTTATGTTCCAAGGCCGAGTGGGTCACTTTAGTCGAGGGAGCTAATTCTTATATTGGTTACAAACCTCTCCTAACTCTTTAACTCCGAAAAACTTTTCGGAGTTAAAGAGTTGAAAGAGATTTGTAACCGATAGAAACAGGTTGATATACATTAAACATGTTTATAATTCTTCTTCTTTATAAATTGAAAAAAAACTTTGTAGCTTTAGAATTTAACTGAATTTTAAAGAAAAAGTTAAAAGAAATCTTAAAACTGTTACCAAATTCTTATTTCAACATCGACACCGAAGTCAACTTCGCCTTTCAGTAAACTTTGTAATCCGAATATTCGCCGGATCTTAACGCCGTTTTCCGAAAGATTCGCGCAAAGCAAATTTTTTTTGCTGCGACGAAACGCCGTGTTAATTTCCACTTCTTTTGAGCTCCTTTTTTCTCGTTGTCAACAATGAAAATAGCAGCAATGTTTACGCTGTACGATTAACTATTACTTTTTCAGCATACTTTCTACTTTGAAACATGTGGAGATTTCTTTCCATGCATTAATTTAAACATTTGTCTTTATATGTAAGACGCGATATTATTTTGTAATGTAATATATAAGATTATAAATGTAATTACATATGAATAATCATTACATATAAATAATCTTATATATTACATTTTGTAATGTAATATATAAGATTATATATATAAGATTTATATGTAAGACGCGATATCATTTTGTAATAACTTAATATAAGGCTTTTTACAAGAAAGTATAAAATAAATGCAAGAACGAAAAACAGGTTTAGCTGTAGGGTTTCTCAGAAGAAAAAGTTTCTTCGTGTCAATTCCGAATGTGTAACTTTCGAAATTAACAGTACGCATATGTAAATTCTCGATTTAACTCTTGCTCCTTATTTGATGAATTTACTCATGCTTGTCAATTTTCTGAGTAAGTTCATGAAAAATCAATAAGAACGCCTAGTTAAGAAATTTGTTACTTTAAAAACGTGGTTTTGCTTTTGTTACTGTTGACATCACGTAATATAAAATTCAAAATTTGATTGGTTTTCGCTTAAGGCGATTAGCAAAAAGTCGAAATGAATCCGACTTTTTTCGCTACAGCACAAAAAAATCCAGAAATAATTTATCTGCGAATGTTTATCGACAAAAAATATCGTTTCGCGCGAATATTTCGTCTTATGGAAAACTCAATACAAAAAAATACTGAATTATGCAAAAAAATATATATATATTTTTGAAGCTAACAGATGGCAGACATAATGTTAAAGGTTAAAATTGTTTGTTATCAATAACAAACGATTAAACTGGTTTAGTATCCGATCAAAAAAAAATCCATGATCACAAAAGTGAATAACTTCAATATACTTCAAATATTAAATCAAGTTTATATATAAAGCAATAATTACGTATATTAAATTACAACACGTTCTTATTTCCAAGTTTACAATGTTTACAATATTATACAATCGCTTCTGGAGATATAATACTCTTTTAAAAAATAGCTAAATTACAGTAAGAGTTGAAATCTTGTTACATAAAAAGCAACTAAAGAAAACATAAGCGTTTAAGGTCCTTTATTTATTTTACAAAAAAAGAAAAAATCCGTTTATTAAGCAGTGTCGAGAAAAAAATTAATCGAGAAAAAAGCGATAATCTATTTGCAAGAGAAAAAAACAAAAAAAACAAACAAAAAAAGAAAGCAAATTTGTGAATGCTGTACACTTTTAACAAATGCTTACAATGAAAAAAAGGTTACAATGTTTTGCCTTTAATAATTTGCTAAAAATATTTATCTACGTACAACCATTTTTTTTACAAGTTAGTGCGAGCTAGATATACAATGTGTGCGCTATTTAAATGCGTCATTTACAATGTTACATTCATACAATTTATACTCCTCCAAAAAGACTCACTCTGTATTAAGAAAAAGACTATTTCATTTTAATTAAGAGTCAAATAAAACTTTATTTTGGAAGAGTTTTAAAAAGAATTATAGACATTTAATAAGTCTATATTTACATGTTATTTATATAATGCTATATATATAACAGGTCGAACCTGTATTTTTCTATGCGCATAATTTACATTACAAGTTTTTTAATGTTTGTATACGAACAAAAAATATGAGCATAACATAAATATACTACATCAAAATCACTCAAAAACCATAAGATAATTTTTAATATATACAACTTATGTAAACACAAAAATTTATGTCAAGTTACTGCCAAGGTTAAAACTCAAAGGGTATAACATAAAAACATTTAACACAAAACTATAACTGCAATAACACTACGAAATAAAATTCTTAGTCACATAAAGAACAAGATTATGCAATAATAAAAAAGGTAATAATAAAAATATCTCTTAAAGATTAAAAAAATAAATCTTTCTTGAGTACTTTAAAAATCATTATTGAAAGTGAGCAATATAATCCTTCATTGGAGTAAAAATGTAATCAATCGTTACTTTATGCTAAAATATTCAGTTGATATGAAACTTTACTTCACTCTATTACAAAGCACACTAAAGACATTATACAGAAATAATAACTTTTAACAAATCTTGAGCAGATTTAAATATCTAAACAAACCAATGGGTAAAATTATAAAATGTAGAAATAAAAAAGTATTTTCAAAATGCCCTCTGGTCATACGAAAACAGGTTAATTTAATTGAATTCAAAAAGAATCAGATGGACATAGCAACAAAAAACTAGTATTTTTCACAAAAACCATAGAGGTCATATTTGAAAAACATTTATTTCAACAGAATTTTAAAAATAATATTTAACAATTAAATCAGGAACACACGCACAACTTATTTTACACAGAACACAAATACATTTAAAAAAAAAAAATGTGTACAAACTGATTTCACGTCAAATTTGCATAAAATTTAATAAGAAGTAATAGGTGCATTAACTGGTAAAAACAACAAATCAGGGGTCTGCATGTACGACTTTTCAAAACTTTCCAACTTGGCTAAAATATGTTTACCATAAGTATACTTTCGCAATGTAGAGACATGAGGACGAATTTTAATCATAAGTACTTTGCGTTGAATAGGCTCTGCTATATCTATCATTTTTTGAACAACATAATTTGCATATTGATCTTTCATCATCATGTACAATGCTCCATGAGGACTTTAAAAAAAAAAAAAAAAAAAAAATTTCATAAAATCGAGTTCTCTTATAATAAATACTTTCATAAAATAAAATTTTAATCTTTTAACTTGAAATTAAGATATGAAATATCTTAATATCAAGTTAAAAGATTAGAATTTTATTTTATTGAAACATACAGGTTTTTTCAATAAAATAAAATTCTAATCTTTTAACTTGAAATTAAGATGTGAAATATCTTAATTTCAAGTTAAAAGATTAGAATTTTATTTTATTGAAAAAACCTGTATCTTTCAATAAGACGATTCCATTGAGCCAATAACTGAATCAGTGTATTTAATCCATCTTTTTAAAAAATACTGATTCAAAATAATAAAAGAAAACCCTAATGGTAACTGATTTTAATACAGATTTCAGAGCCAAAAGTGGTTTTATAAACATATTAGATAAAAAAAACAATATTAAAGCAACAATTTATTTTGTTGATGAAATTCTTTTATCATTCCATTTCTACGATCATTTTTTAAAATATTAACCAACCAATGCAAATCATATTTATTAAGTAAATATAAGTTGCAAAAAAAAAAAAAAAAAAAAAAAAAAAAAAAAAAAAAAAAAAAAAACGTTTTTTTTGGCGTTAATCTGCTTTTATTAAACTAAGGTTGTTTTTTTTAAATCATTAATTTTGGAATATTTTCCCTTAATTTTAGTTTATTTTTAGCATATGGTAATTTAAAGAAAAATTATTTGTAGAAAAACCGACTTAACTCATATTTTTAATAAAAAATTGAATCAGCTTTAAGTCAAATCTAGGCATATTGTATGGGAATATTTATTTTTCATGTTGTACTTCCTAACAACTCATTACATATAGAAACTAATTTCATACTAAAAGAAAGTTATTATTTTATAATTTTAAATGTAAACATATTAGTATATAGTACCATGCCAATTTAATACCAGACTTAAAATACTCAAAGAAATAAGCAATCTATTGAGATTACTTATTTCATTGAGCACTTGTATATTGTGTAGTAATTTAGCCTCACATTTTTGTTTGTTATAATTGTTAAAAAGTCCTTAAATCAATAGAAGGCCCTAAACTAAACTAAAAAAAAAGGCCTTTCCAAACTAAACTACTAAATACTCAACTAAAAAAAAGGCCCTATACTAAACCAAATTTCGAAAAAAAATTCAAAATTTTGAATTATTATTTACTGAGTTTCCCAAACCATCTTCATCTGATGATTTGTAATTTATTTATTCACAGATATTTTTTTTTTATCTAAATTTATTTATTAATTATATGATTTATCTAATATTTTTATATAGTGCTATATCAGAACACATGCAAAATCATTAACATGCTTTGTGGTTTAAATTCAATTTTTACTTAAGTTGTTCAAGATCAATATTTTAACACAATCTTATTGAAAAAAGAACATTCAACTTTTTTCATTATGATATTTTTAATTCAGAAATTTAAATGAATGGGCAGCTAAGTTTTTATTTCCCTGTAGGGAGCTTAATCATAATTGATTACCAACTAGAAGAACAATAAGAATTAACTAAATAAAATTTTGGACAAAGTTTAGAAATTAATATTTTAAGAACTAATAAGTTTTATTATTTAATATTTCAACTGTTAATATGTTAGTATATGTAGTTTATAAATATAGTATATTTACTTTATAAATAAATAAAAATATAGTTATAGTAGTTTATAAATAAATAAAAATAATTATTTCAAATAACATATTTAGCAAAATTATAAAGTTTTTTTTTAAAGATGTTTTATTTGAGTAAGGAAAATTTCTTTATTCATCTTTGAATAGAAATATCTAATTCTTGCTTCAAGCTCTTCTAAATTCTCAGCTCTCCAATTATTCTCGTACACTAGCCGTTTTTAATCACCCAAACGTTTTCAACTGGTCTTGCTTCTGGAATGTTAGCTGGGTTAATATCTTTGGGTACAACTTTGATTTTTTTTTATTTTAAAAAGTCGATGACCGACTTTGTGTAATGTGATCGAGCTAGATCAGGCCAGAAGATAAACTGTCTTATTTATAATATTCTAATACTAGAAGAAGTAAAGTTTTTTCTTCATAAGTGTACTAATTGATTGCCTGTTTACTGGGATGAATATAAAGAGAGCTTATTTCAAGGAGGCTGATGCAACAAGAAAATAAAAGCTTGTTCTCATACTTTTTACGCAAATTGTATCTTACGTCCTCAGAACATTGTGAAGGATCAGCGGCAAAAAACCTATCATTACCAGCTAATGTGCTATTGTTTAAGGTAAAATAGCTTTCATCATCCATAATAAAATCCAAGTTTTTACATTTTTCGTACAATTTACGACATTTTAGGACGCATAGCTTTCTTCTGCTGATGGCTGCGATCTGGACGATTTGTTTTTTTGAAAGTTCAAATGTTAGTCATTATTTTTAATACTTATGAAATTCGAGTTTGACTACAGTTAAAAACATGAGCAACTTTCTTATGGGAGCACTCTGACTTATTTTCAAAAAATACAGAAATCTTTGGAATATTTTCTTTAGTAGCTACCTTAGCGATTCGATCACTTCCAACTTTTCCTTTTAGAGATCCATTCTCCAATTTTACGATTTTGTCGTAGGCAGTTGATCTGGTTAAACCCATTCCATTAACTGCTTAGCAACAAACGCTTTACCATTTCCTTGATTTTTTGGGGGGAAAATTTCCATCATTTTTTCGAGGTCCTTTAATTTGACCATTTTATTTTTAATATTTAAATAATATTTTCAACTTAATTATATTAAACTTAAATAGATTAAAAATCCTCTTTCAAATAAGTTTTTTTGTGTGCATGAAATAAGTTACATAATAAATGCAATTAAAATTTGTCCGAAATTTTAGTTATAGGGTGTTAATTTAAAGATCCTCTACAAATATGTATATAGAGATATTATGGCACCTTAACCCATTTAGATATAAAAAGTAACAACTCAGAGTTTTTAATGTGGTGCGGTGTCTTGTCTTAGTCCATTTTTAGATTTTATTGCAGAAAAATTAGTTTTTATATCAAAATTAAAAAACAATTTCTTTAAGTTTCCTGATATCTTTTATTACAATTTATATTTTGGATTAATAACTGAGTCCTGATTTTTTATCTAAAGGAGGGTTAAAGGCACCCTAGCAATTACTATTCTTCAAATCCAGTAACTTCTGAG